AAAGATGTTGGAATCCGCCCTTACCGGTTGCTCAACAAACAATACGACATTTTGCCACAGCATCAAATGAGACATACTCGGGTTAGAATAGTGATGGAGCATTTGGAGCAGCTTGCAAAAGAAGCTCAACTATTTCCTTCTGGATTGACTAGTGTATTAATGCTAGAAATTCCCGCGGCTGACAAAGTTTTTGATACTTCTTTCGCGATGATGCTATCGAAACTGTACACCAGAGCTCCAAAGCGTGCCGAGGACTTGTCGTGCGGTACGCTCTACAACAGACTCTGCCAGTATCGTAAAAAAAATACTTTTTAGTAAATACCACGTAGTCATAAGAAAAAACATTGTTAGCCAATCAAAAGGTGCTATTATTTGTGATCTGATTCCTATCACAAACGCCGCCATTATATACATTGGGGTCGATTATCTGAAGGGGGCGCATGTCCTGATCATATAGACCGACTGTGAGCTCGTTTGTTGCTCCCTGCATTGGTACGTAGCTAATACCCTGGCCGAGTGACGTGGTGATAAGGCCACCGTATAGAACGCCTGCTGACGTGAAAGTGTGCAATACTTGGGAGTTATTAGCGAGAGGTTGTAAATATTACTGACGCCGACAACTACCGAGGCAATTGGATCTAACTGAGGGACTAAGTTGGACTTAGCTGCATACATCACTGTTTGCTGACTGGGAGGATATGTACCCTGAGCCAGACCGACAATCGCACTGAAAGAGGTTGAACCAGTATCAATGATCTGAAGTTGAGGAGTATATCCAGACGTACTCAAGGCCTGAGCGCCCGATGCGGTCGTGTATCCCGATACAGCCTTGTAAGGACTCATCGTGATGAAGAGCATACGAGGACGGGTTCTCAGCGCACGAAAGGAAGTAGTAGTACTCTCCAGTCGTGTTATTAATCAGATAGAGGTTGTTTTGGATCGACCAGTACTTCAGATAGTTATTGAAGTCATCGGCTGTGTATGTACCGTTAGGCAAAGTAATATTGAACGTCTGAGTACCAGTACCAGTCGGTCAGATAATGTTGAATCGGTTGTTCATGCGTTGAATCGTGATTGCTTGCCATGAGTAGTATATACTGATTGAACCGAGAGCGATCTCAAACTGTGAGAAATCGACAGGGCGACTCAGTGTATATTTGAACTGATGAGTCGAGATATGGTTGTTGATGTTCAAAAGAATTGGGAAACTCATCGTGGAAAAATCTGTTGCTTTATATAGCATCTAATAAAAATGATGAAACGCACAAGAATTCGAAAATCCCTCATGCCAACCTTGGAAGTTGATGGTGGAGGGCTCGATCACAGTAAAAAGCTAACACCCGTGAAGTCGGCAGCGCTATCTACGAACATCGAAGTTCTCACGGATAAACTAGAATAGGTGAGTCTCAAGTCAATAGCAAAAGAGGCTAAGAAACGTAAGAAACCTAAATACATAAATACTTCTAAGCTTCTAAGCTTTTCCCGTGTTGGTTAAACTGTCGTTCGCACTTAAGTGCGTTAGGCTGTGCCTACAGCTGAACGAGCTAATGAGAGAAAGGACTCTCGGGACTCGCCCGAGGGTCTCAGACATCGGACATCATCCGTCGGTTGAACTGCATGTAGTACTGATAGCTAAAGACTCCTTTCGCATATAGTGAATCAAGGATCTCTCTCATCTCCTTCTTGATTGATGGATTATCATCTCCAATCTTGGAAGCATTGTAACGTATGTTCAGACGATCTACTAAGTGACTAATAGTTTGGTTGTAGGCGCTTGAGAACTCTCTGTTCTCAATTTTACTTTTTTTTGAGAATGAATGCCATGAAGTCTCTCTCGCTCTCTGTGAGAGCATCAAATAGGGCTTTATCGAA